CACTTACCTGTTCTTGTTCACGTTTGGCTTGGATCTTCAGGCCTGTTCTTCTTCTTCTTCTTCTTCTTCGTTATCATGCCATCGTTAGCCTTTCCTCCATCCCCTCACCCACATCCGCTACCTGCTTATCATTCTACAATACTTCAGCTGACGTATGGTCGTGTCTGTTCTTCTTTACTGGTCATGACTGACAGCTATGAAGCTTCTTATATCTCTTTATGTCTAGTGCTGCGCTTACACAGCCTCTCGTATTCTCTTTCGTTTATTCTCTTATGTCGGGATGCTTGTCTCTGATGTCTTGATGATCTTACGACCTTACTATCACCCAGCTTCATCCTTCCGTCATCCTGTTAATTAAATGCTCTATTCTTCTATTTTCTTTGTCTGTTTCCCCTTAATTTGCCGCATGTTTTCTTCACACTCCGGTTCTGGTTGCTCTCCCGTATGCCACCGTTTTTCATCGTCCCACCCCCCTCCCAATGTACCCTTCCTGTGGGTTCCATTCTGTAGGCGTTTGTAGTGACAGTTAGAGTTGGGAGGAGATGGTTATTAGATGTACTCCTTATTTTCGCTTAGGCCGATTATCATTTCATTCCGTTATTTGACGAGAGATTCATGACCGCCGAAGCTGGACTTCTCGTGAACGGGTTCTTGCCCCGGATTTTCGGAGGGAGGTCGTTGGCGAGGGGGTGGTTGAGTAAAGAGAAGCATACCGACACAATAAATGTAATTTAGTGCACAGAAGAGGATAAAGAAGTAGGACCTACCAGTAGCGCTCTTCAACCTCCCACTATAAGATAACAAACATTTCTGATGCCTTTTGGTTGAATGACACATACCCACAGGAAAGTCGACATTCTTCAAATTCCAGTATCAACGTCTTCTTGGTCAAATTTTATTCGTTCTTAGGTTTATTGATAGGGGGGAAGTTGGTTCCTCCTGGGAAAGCCTTCATAGAGAGTGAGGATTGACCTGCAAAGATGATGCAACTTGTTGCCTTTTTATAACACCTTGCATGCATTATGCAACAGTAGCTGAAACGCTCAATGATAATAGTTTCCTAAGTTGGGAATCAAACTCGTTCCTTATTCTTTCAGAGACGAAGAGCCTATCCATTACACCAAAAGTGCATGTATGTTATTCTTTAAAGTTAACAAAAACAATCAAGCAAACATAAAGACAAACAAACAAACAATCAACAAAGCTGAAGAGAATACGTACTCAAACTTAAACGCCATAACAAACTATAACTCCGCTGATGCACCTTCTCTATCTATACAAGGACTGACAACTAAACTTTGTTCAGTGAAAGCAAACGACCCTACCGCCATCATAATGTTGGGGTTACAAAGCGACACTATAACCAGCGCCATGGCAACGGTCAGTGTGACACATATGGCCCTGGCTGTGGGGATCTTTGGTCTTTTGGTCATATGGATCTTGAAAAGGAACTCTGTCAACTTACCACCTGGACCCATGTCGCTACTTTTTTTCGGGAATCTTCGAGAACTCAATGGTAAGTGTAGTATAAACCGGTGGTTGTTCTTCTTCTTCTTCTTCTTCTTCTTCTTCTTCTTCTTCTTCTTCTTCTTCTTCTCCTCCTCCTCCTCCCCCCCTCCTCCTCCTCCTCCTCCTCATCTTCATTATCATCATCATTATTGCTTAAAAAGCAGAGTAGGTAAGGAGAGTCTTATCTTGATTCATTTATAGATAAAAAGTATAAATTAAAGATATTTAAAACCTGATGCATTAAATCGGCTCGACGTTTCTTTATGAAGGCTTTCCCAGGAGGAACCAAGAGTGGTGTAGGATTGACCTACTCATGATTAGTGAGAGCATATTTGCATGTAAATAATATGTAGTTGACGTTGTTTTTTCCACAGTCAATGTTGTTTCACGAGACTTTTTGGAAAAGAGGGCCCTCTACATAATTGATCACTGTTATGCGGGGACAAATTTTGCACCAGAGTTTATTGCACGGATGACTTTTGTTTTAGGTTGTGGGGGGGGGGGGGGGGTGAGAGTTT